GTGTGGCAGCGCAAGGGGGCTTCGGGGCAGAGGTGGGGAGGACCTGTAAGTACGTGGGGAGGGTGTAAGCCTGCGATTCTGTACACACAGTGGGATTTATAGATATAAAAATATATAAAATACATAATATATAAAATATATATATATACGAGAGCATAGGCAGGTGTGCATGTCACCAGGGGACAATACGCAAAGCCCATGGGGTTGTACAAGCCTATCTGCAAAGGGTGGGGGGAGAGGGGAGCTTCTTGCCAGCAGGCTAGCATTGCTGAGCAGGTTTGCTGTTTGGGTTCATTATTTACTTTACTGGGTCCAATTAGGAAGCCAGGAGATAGGAAATGTGGCTGAGGCAAGCAGGCCTTCAAAGCCTTCCTCCTGCACACATCAAAGCCGTCTGCTGCAGATCCCTCTGCATAAAGGGCTCTGCCAGCTCCGAGCAGCAGCAAGCGCCTGGCTCACTCTGCTCAGGGTTGTTCCCTGTTGGTTTGATTGTCAAGCCTCCCAGGCTCATACTCTCTATCTCCAGCCTCCAGAGCAGAAAGCTCCTCTTTCTGATTTACTGGGACAGAGTTAAGGAGCTACAGCTTGGCAAGACAGTGTTTAATGGGGCTGCAGCAACAAACCAAGTGAACTATGAACATGTGAAAGGCAAAAAACCTGCAGGGAAGAAGGTTGCCTGGAGTTGCCTGGAAGGGATGCTTTGGGATGAGAAGAGCAGCACTGTATGAGGAGTCATCCCCCCCAGGGAAACATGGAAGGTCCCTCACTGGGAAGGAACCAGACAAAACAGCCAGGGGACAACCCACAACCCATGGCAGCGAGGAAGGTTTGGCAGTAGGGTCAGGATTTTGTCCCTGGATAACACGCTCAAGGCAAATGTCTTCTCTTAATGGGAATGGAGTGGCTCGCTTGCCAGGAGCTGGCAGTCCCTCTCCTCACCTAATAGAATATGTTGATTGTTATTGGTACCAACGAGTGTTGTCCAAGCCTTCTCCCTCCCCACTTTGATAAACTGCATAGTGACAGCCATCAGCTCCCTGCCAGAGCTGGCTCCTGCACAGAACCAACTGTAAATTTGCTTGGCGTATAAAGCTCTGTTCCTGCTCCCCGTGCCCCCCCTTTGCCTTAGAGGTTAGAGTTGTACGACTCACCTAATATGGCTGCCAAGGTGAATTAGTGAAAACATCTCTACAGCTCTGTGCAAGATACCACAACCTGACATTTTTCTAACATACTGTGATACATCTTTCCTCTCCTGATCTGTACTATGACACCTCGATTTTATATAAATGCTTTCTATTAGAAATGGTTAATGTACTCTTACAGGGGACAAGGCTGCAAGCGAAAGGGTCTGTCTTGCAAGTAAGAGTAGCTGAGTTCTTGTAGCAAAATGTTGATGCCCAGGGTTGAAACAGGTCACCAGTGCAGGGACAGAAACAGTGCTACCACTGTTTCAGCAAGAGACTGTCACAGAAACTTTTCCTGAAGTGTTATGCTCATATCTGTGTCCTGGAGCTGGGGAATGAGGAGCTGAATAGGCCTATTGATGTCTTTGGCATGCCCTTTAAAACAGAAGTCCTCCCTTTCACTCATTCCCAGAGAGCTCCACTGGGCAAACCAGCAGCTCATCATCCCTTGGGAAGTGTTGTGTGTAGCTGTGAAAGCTCTGCTGCTGGACATGGTACACGGTTGAGACTTTAAGTGCATGTAAGTATGCAGTGGAGAAGCTGAAAAACATCTTCCCTTAGGAAAGTATGTACCCTTTTAGGATACTTTGGAGCTCCATTGATGTGGTTCTCTGACAGACAGGCTTAACAGCACCCTTAATGAGGGTGCCACTCCATTAGAGCTGGTTAAGTCACCCTCAACCCTCTTTTCATTACGGTGACAGTCTTGTGACAAGGGCAAATTGCAGGAGAAGCAAGTCCCACTTGGAATGAACCCTGTGTATAAACAAGGCAGAATTGCAGAGCAAATCATTTGCAAAGCAGAGGCAAATTATGTTTTAACCTTTTCTTTGTGAGTCTTTCCCTGATGTCTGATTAACTTTCCAGTCAACTGGCTGACCTACCAACTGGGAGTGCTGCTGTGAAAGGAGAGGAGTGTTGGTTGTCAGCTCAAATTGGGGGTGGGATTTTCAAAGAACATTAGTAGCAGGTAGCAGTATGTGATAAGAAGATCCAGGAATTAAAAGAGTTCGCAACCAAAAATGAATCCTGCTATGGCAAAACCACGAACAATGTATTGGCTGTATGGACAGCAGCACAGCACAGAAGTTGCAATGCAATCCTTCATCTGCGTTCAACCATGGTAACACCTTGTCTGAAACACTGTGTTTGGTTTGGGGCGTTGCACTTCCAGAAAAATGTGAACTTGTCAGAGAGGTCTAAAAGGAAAGAACAAGAATGATCAAGGGTCTAAAAAACCTCACCTACAGAGGAAGGTTGACAGACCTGGCAATATTCAGACCAAAAAAAAAAAAAAAATGACAACTGAGGGAGGAATGTAAGTGATTTAAAAGTTGATAAAAGGCTATTGCAGAGAAGGAGGGAATGATTTGTTCTTTTTGTCTATAGTGGCTAAGACAAAAATAATAGCTTTAAATTGCAGCAAGGGAGGCTCAGGTCAAACTTCAAGGAAACTGCTCCAGTGGTAAGGACAGCGAAGCATGGGAACAAATCATCCGGAGTGGGTGCAGAGGCTCTGCCGCAGGAGGGCAGAGGGTGGCTGACTCCCTGACGTGCCCCATGTGCCCTGCCTTGAGGTTGGGGAATGGGCTAGATGGCAGCTGAAGTCCCTTCCAGTACTAGGAGTCGCCTAACTCTGGTCCTACAGGAGTTAAGATTCCCTAACATATTCACGAGTCACAGCGATAAAAAGCACTTCTGAAAATCCCACCCTGCTTCATTCACTGACTCTCCAGAGCATCAGCCCCAGTATACAGCAGAGGATTGAGAGCCATGTCCCAGAGCACTGGGTGGGCAGCAGGAGCCAGCTTTGCCTCCCTACCTTGTAAAATACACTGCTGCCATGCAGTAAGACCCTTCAGCAGACTGTTAGGGGATGCAAAAATCTGCATCAAAGTAGTTGTAAGTTTTAGACATAGCAATGAGATTTCCATTCACCTGAACATCTGGTCGGAGCTGGAAAAAGGACTGCTGGTTAGCCCTGCTGAAAGATAGGGGAAACCTTGTCTTTGCGTGAGTTTAATAGGTACACTGCTGTTTTCATGCTGAGTCTCTGTAATGGGGAGTGGTTTTCCCCTAGAATGATTCTGAAAATTGCTGGAGAAAAAAAAAATAAAAAAGGCAAAAATAATTGTGTAAGAGACAGAGTTCTGAGCAGATTTTGAAGTTGCTGAAGTCCCTATCTCTGATGCAGAAGGGAAATGCACGCAGCTGGCATCTGCAGTCTGACCTGGCCAACACGCTGCAGCAAGCCTGTGCCTGTGTGGTGGGATTCATTGCAGATGGCTCCACAGGAACTTTAGCTCCAGAGACAGGGCTTACCCACTGCTTTCACACGGTGCCGCAGGGCCAAGGACAACAGCCCCGTCCTCGCAGGCACTATTTGAACTCCGTCAAACAACTCTAAGCACTTACACGCAGTGGGCAGGGTTTCAGAAGTGCTCGGCACGTATTGAGCAAAAAATGTCTTCTGGGCAGAGAGTTGCTTTGGAAAATCTGACCGCTCTCTGAAGGACCTGAATGGGAGCCCTTGTGTGCTGACCTGTTTTTTTTTTTTTGAGCAAAAAATGTCTTCTGGGCAGAGAGTTGCTTTGAAAAATCGGCCCCTCTTCGGAGGGCCTGGAAGGGAGCCCTTGTGTTGTTACCTTTTTTTTTTTTTTTTGGAAAGCTGGCTTTTACCCTTTGAGGGTTGGGGAACACTTTCTCTAAACATACACAGGCACGCAACTGGGGCTTGTGGCTCTGCATGCTGCAGACCAGTGCTTGCAGCCCTCTCAGAGGAGGGAAGCATCTCCCTTTACACTGCTGCCAATGTGGTTCAGATTCTTTCCAGGAAGAGAAAGAATTCTTTGCTTTCTGAAGGAATAGATATACCAATCCTAGTATTTCATGCTTCCCTGGCACCTTTCATCCAGCGATTCTAATGTGTTTTACATGGGTTAACCTCACCGCACTTCTCTGACCAGGAGGTGGTGGGAAAGGGGGCCTATTAGCCGCAGTTCACAGAGGGAGAGCAAGGGAGTGACTCACCCAAGGTCATACAGTGAATTAAAAGCAAGGCCACAGACCTCCCCTGATTCCTGCCCCTGGCTGTAACCCCGATGCTCAAGTCATTGCTTTCAAAACTGTGTTAGCGAGGCAGCACGGTTTAAGTATGTCATTTCGTATGTACAGTAGATCAGGGATTCGTGATGATTATTGGTCTCCACGGATCAAATTACACTTTGTTTCTCTCCGTTTGGCTGTGTTTAACGGTAGCTCGCTCTGATCGATGGCACTTCAGGGTGGTGGTTGCTCTGAGAGACAGAAAGACATTTTTCACAGTTTTGCGGTGGAGAAAAGGGTGCTGACAGTACACCACCACATCAGAGGAGGCAGCTAGCCCTGAACCAGCCCATCGGCCACAGGCTGGCTAACCTTCCCTGGTACGCTGCCATTACACCAGTGAACTTTCTCCGGTCTCACGTAGTGGAGATTTTGTTTCTTGGCCTGGACAGCCTGTGAGATACAACACTTTGGTATCATTTGTATGCTTTCTTCCAGATTTTCAGAACCCAAGTTTTCCATAACTAAATAAAATGCTAGTATTTTGCTGATATGGCTTCTGAAATAATTTTTAAAATCGCTTATGACTGTTGTTTATTTGCAGAATCCCTATTGTGATTGTTCCTCCATAGCAATTAAGCAGAAGGCTTCCCAAATCTGAATGCCTAACAGAGCTACCATCTGTATTTTTCTGTCCTACCAGGCAGAGAGTTTGAAGGCGAGGAGGAGTATCTGGAGATCCTAGGGATCACGCGAGAGCAATCGGGCAAATATGAATGCAAAGCTGCCAACGAGGTTGCTTCAGCAGACGTCAAGCAAGTCCGGGTCACTGTGAACTGTGAGTACATCGCAACTGGAGCAGGTCAACGGGGAGAGCTTTGCCCATGGGCAGGGGGGACTTTAGGATAAATAGAGAAGCCTTTCTGGGTTTATATTATATGATCTGAAATGGGGGGACGACGGACGCTGAGGAAACTATGTGCAATCAGACACTTATCACAGAGTATAGTTTATGCTTTAAACCTGGTAATATTTAAGAAAATAGAGAGAGAGAGAGGAGCTGTGAGTTGCCCGTGTCTCTCCCCTCAGAAACGCTGGTGATGCCTTGTTTTCAGTCATTGATATTGGAGAGAACAGTAGCGTGAAGAGAAGCTTCAGCAAGGCAGAAAGGAGAGATAAGGGAGGGTTCAGCCAGCTCAGAGCAAACACACGCCTGCCTGCACCCAGCCATCTCAGCAGTGCCTACATGGGTATCACAGCCCAGGGGCCTGGGGGGACGTGTGGTAGAGGCATATGTTAATGAGAGGGGGCAAAAACTTGACTTTTATGCCGGTTTCAGGTCATTAGCATGAAGCCCTCTCTAAGAGACCCTCCGCGCATCAATGCAATACAGAAAGGGGCTTGACCAAAGGATACGACAATCCACCTAAAAGCACCGAGAAGCACAGTTAGCTGTGTCACTGTGACACAAGATATTTCAGACTGCCGTTACTTTTATAATCCTACGTGTGTATGTGTCCACCTCCATATTTGTATGGCTCATATTTGGCACTGGAGTGCTTTAAAGTGAATATCCCCATGTACCTGCTCTGCTTCCTTGCTTGGAGGCTAATACCTCTGCAGCAGGGGTGGATGAATGGGAGGTATATCCTCTCCTGACTTTCTTCAGTTTACACACCAGAATATTAACTTAAACTGAAACTGGAGATGGTTACAGACATGTTTCAGGGTGCATATGCATGGCCTTGATTCACAAATAGGACTCTCGGGGAGTGGGTTAGGGCAGAGAGCTGATGGCAGCAAGTGTTTCAGCCCATCCCAGTCTAAATTGCCACCACAGGTGATTTTAGCACCTTTTAATACCATTCTTGCTCTTTGTCTCTTTCTTTCCCTTTGGGCCATCACATCAGATCAACTCATCTGTCTTGCTTGGAAGTCAAGGCTATAGGCTCCCTGCAGCATCTTCAGAATCCACGGAGTTTTTTATAATTCCCTCAGAAACTGGGTAGCAGTGGTTTAATACTGGCTGCTTCATGGGCCAAATTTGGCATTAATGTGAAACTGTCGTAGCAGATTTTCTGCACTAAAACTGTTGAGGGTTTTTTCCTGTCAAAAACATCTGAGTTTGTAAACGTGAGACATTCCATGAGAACCAATTAATATTTTCAAATATTTCTGTGAAACATAATTTCAATGATGCTTTTAACGTGGTTGAAACAGATTGCTTGTATAAAGTCAGAATGTTTGATTTTGACTTAGTTTCAACTCATAATAACTATGCTACAGTTAGATCTTAAACATTTTTACTGTTGGAATATATAAAAATATAATGTGATAGAGTATTGTAATATTATTATATGGCCTAATTTGTAATGTAAACAACTTATAAATTCCTTCAGAACAGATCTTTTCTTTCAAAACAAAGGAAAAATATCTAAGAGGTCGTGAGGGCCACGCACAGGAAAAAAATCAGTCCTTTTTGGGGAATGAAAGCTAGACATTTGCATACATCTTTCCTTATCTTACTTCCTTAAACTATACCACAAGCAGCAGAAAGTGGGAAAGCTACAGTAAGTGTGAAAAATGGGACCTGCCCAACCTCAGGAGCTTCCTGGCCATCTCTTATCATCCTCCTGCACTGTGGAGCACGTAGCTTGTCAGCCTGGACTGCAGGGGAGAGCATCCTCGCTTTGCTTTGGTCTCACACTACCACCTTCAGGCTTCCCGAGTAATGGCCCTTGCACATCCCAGGCAGGGAAACTGAGGCCTGGGGAAGACTGAGGGGAAAACAGCTAAAGGGAACCCACTCCTGGCTTCCCCAGCAACAAAGAGCTAAACACAGAGCGGCTGCTTTCTGAGTGCAAGGGGCTGGTTTGTTCAGGGCCACCGCCTGCCCCTTCTCCTGGGCGAGCACTGTGGCAAGCAGACTGCCCTTTGCTAAGCGGGCAGCCTCGGGGCCAGCAGTGCCTTAACAAAAGCGGTGGCAGAGGTACGGCCTGTCCACCCGTCTGGGCCCTGTCCTGTAAAAAAGCCGAAGGGGGTGGCTAAGGCAGGGACTGCTCAGAGCGAGGAGCTGGGCTCCCTGGCAGCATTGCGGGGAGCACACGCCTGCCAGGGTCATTTTCTAGGCCCATAGAAAGGTGCTTGTTCATTTTGTGACTCATCTCTTGCGCTGGAATCAGTGAAATGGAAAAGGTTTGTCTCGCTGCAGACAGCAAGAAGATATACTGCTCGAACCAAAAAATCGAAGAAGGATGCTTAAAAAATCACCTTCACTATCCTTTTATTACCCCTCCTCCTTTCCAAATTAAAATATTTACGTGAACCCACAGCCTTTGAATGTAGGATCCTATTTATGTACACTTATTAATATTTATGATGTTAGAGGGCGCACTGCAATATCCCTAAAGCCCTGCATAAAATCCTGATTAAGGTCAGAAAAGGGATCACATTGAGATGGCTAATATGTTCACAAACAAACTTCTTTCCATACATTTTCCAGACAGAATTATTTTTTTTCTTTGACTGACACAATCCATTTTGATTCTTTTTTTGGCCTTTCAGTGCTGGGACGGATACAGATGGTGGAGCTGTACTCTGTACACGCAAAGTGTGCTTTACGGTAACTTGAGTCTCAGCAAAGTAGCTGTCTGAGTTGCAGCCCTGTAATCTCAGGGTATGCAAGTATTAGTGATGAGAGACAAGGCATTTATTCCCTGATCCCTCTCAGCAGCCAGGTGGAAATAATTCTGTCTTTTAACATGTAAAGCTTGTCGCTTAACATTTTGAACATGGGGCTGGGATTGAAGATGACGGTGACTACCCTGCCTGGCGCCCAGCCAGCACTGAGACCTAGCTCCATCAGAGCACACAGATATGTTTCCCAAGTTTTGTTTGCCCATGGCACAACTCTCAGGCTTCAAAGTAAGCAGCAGTGGGAGCACCGTGCTGGGCTCAGGGCAGGCTTCACACAGAGCAATCACGAGCAAAGCCCTCTTGGAGCCTGTGACAAAGCACGAAGTCCAGGAAGGTTTGGGCAGGATTTGTAACCTTAGACATGTAAGGGAAGTGTCTCAACAAGTGGTCTGGATCTCAAAGTTGCACCCACAGCTCCTGCTAAAGCTCTTCCCTTTTAAGCTGTGAATGTATTTCTGTCTCATACATGTTGCCTCAGTCCTTTCCTTTCTTGTTATGGTTTTCACATTAGACACAGAGGTTGTATGGAAAATAATTTTCATGCTAGTGTTAAATTCCCACTTTATTCCTTTTACTTTTGCTGTCTTCCTTTACCCTTGATGAAGTCTTTCTCTCATCTTCTTCTCTCTGATGGGCCCATGTGAACTAGACATCCACAGGTAAATATTCATAAATTACAGAAGTCCATCATTAACCTTAACTCTGCCTGTGTATGCCTATGCATTTATGACAGAACTTTATTCAGTGTTGCTGAAGAGAAGCACGCGTAAGGAGTGATGCTAATGCAGTGTATTAGGGAAAGTTCAAAGAGCAGGTATTCTCCAGAGGAGCC